AACAAGTTCAGCACTGTATAGGACTCGAACTACAAAAATCAATATAATTATATTTGTTTTCAGTGTTGTGGCTATGGAAATTATATGGCCTTGGAGTGTTGTAACTGAATTTATTTTATTTTTTTGAATGACAAAAAGTATTTGAGCAGCTATGGGAATCTTGTCTGAGTATAAGGTGGTTTAAAAGGCAGTGCATGTGTTCTCGAAATGCAGGATTGTAAAGTGTTTCATCTTGTGAGTTTTCCTCAATTTGCGCCGATTATAAATTATGAGGAGATGACTTGTTTTCAGCTCGTGAGGGTTTCAGCGTGGTGTGGCGATGAAGCAGCCGTGTTGACTCAGCTCACGGTTGGGATGCTGTGTGTTTACTGCGAATTCACTCTTGGTTTATGCGACGTCCAATCATTTATTGACTGTTGATACTGAATGACTCTTGATACTGTTTTTATCACATGATGGAAACAACTTCCTTAGATATGCAGAAATGTTCTCTTCAATTCTTGTCTGAGTAAATGCTGTCTTATATTTGGTTAATTAAACTATGTGCAGAGATTACTGATACCTCTCTAACCTAAGAGAAGTATGTGATCATTTGATATTCTGGAAGCATGAGAGGAGGCTAAAAAATGTAAAAACATTTGGCTAATGGGTTTACCAAGTTTATTTGAATAAGGAGGATTGCAGCTCCATTTACGCCAGGCATAAATGCTTTGGAGGTCTTAATTATTGATGAAAAATCTGCTCTGCTTCTAAATTCCAAGATATGACAATTTTATAGGAATTTTAATCACCTTCCATGGTAGGGATTTTAAGGTAAGGATAGTTTTATGTAATGACAAATAGAATGTACATTTTTAGCATTCTTAAGAGAGCTGTCACTCATCATGACAAATACTGTTTGCATTTTGTTGCTTGATGTAAATCTTTGTGAAATGATTGTAGTATTGGCACACACTCCACTTTAAGGCGTATTTCTTGGGGGTGGAAAACGAAGAGTTTAGTGTTCACTGGGGCAAATTGTGTTAATCAGAGAAAGAAAGATGCCAATAGGAGGGAAATATCGTCAGAGTGATGTAGTCTTGTGCGACTGAGATGCCTTTCAGTTTCATAATGATAATCATTTCTGTGGCGTGTGTGTTGCCTCCTGAAATTAGTTGCTCATGTTGAGTTTCTAGCCTGGGCTTTCTCCTGAGTATTGCAGAATAAAATATCCCATCAGGTTGGTGAGTCAGTCTACAGGTCCCCGTCAGCAATGTCATCACTTGGTTAGTTGGCTTAAAAAAGAATTATATACAATGTGCTTTGCCGGCTCCTCGTGGCCTTTGGATACATTTAGCAGGTTCTGACCAGATAAGGCATATTTGTCCTGAGGATATAAACCAATAATTCCAACCTGAATTGAGATCAATGGGCCCACATTCGTTCTAACCCACACCGAGCCTCTTCCGGCTCGTTGAGACTGCTTGTCTGCGTTATGAGAGCAGAGAATGGGCTTCGCGCGCTGGCAGGGAAATCACGTTCTATAGACTCTGATGCCTTAAGTCAATTAATTACACAATTCAGTTTAGTTATCTTTTTAGAAGCATTAAATCCTCACAAGCAGCATGGAAGACCTCTCTGTAAAAAAGAGGGGTGGGTGGGATATTTTATATTACAAAACCCTTATAATTTATGGTGAAGGTTTCACTTATGTTAACTGTTTTTTTCCTCGTAAAACAGTGCTTTTTTTTTTTTTTATAGCTTCACAAATATAATTATGTGGGGGGTGTATTTAAAACAACGTAACGACTGATAGGGTAAAGGCGAAACATAGCATTGTAAAGTCAAAAGAAGAGATGCTGTAGAAGCAGCAGCTGTGGTGGATGGCGGTGAGGTGCAGAGAGCCAGATGCAGGGAGGGAAAGGCACGTGTGTGTGTGTGTGTGTGTGTGTGTGTGCGTGCGCGCGCTTGCACACCCATGCACACAGCCTCACATGCGTATATGCATGTGTGTACACCCGTGCACACGCCTACACATGTGTATATATGTGTGTGTGCGCACACCCATGCACGCATACCCGTATTTATGGATGTACCCCTGTGTATATGTGCACGTATCTATACACACATATTTTTTTTTAGGGTATTGCTGAAAAGGGTGGGAGTATCATTTTCCTCATGGAATAATGTTTTCTGGGAAAACACAAAAGCAGATGGTCTTCATTAGGAACACCCATTGTCCGCAGATCCCAACTATGAGCAGATAAATCTCTCCTGTTTCAGCCGTGCATTCCAAGGCCTGTGAATGATTACAGGATGTTGGTGTAGCTGCTAAACCAGAACCACGCTCTGCCTCTCGCCCTCCTCCCATGCCACCCCGGTGTCTCCTGGACCCTCTGCGAGCGCCGGGGAGGGTCCACGCGGCCACCTTCCCTCCCGGCCGGGCCTCACTGGACCAGAGGTGCAGGGTCCAGCTGTTGCCAGGTGGAGAGGCCGGTCAGGGGGGCGGCAGGGGCGCGGGTCACACACCGTGTGCTCGCTCGGCGGGGCGGGTCCAGATGGTGTCGTCTCCGGCGCCCCGCTCGCTGGCATCTCTGTGGCGGGCAGTGCCCCCTCCCCGGTAAATCTGGCATGGGCCTATGGAGTTTGCGAGACTTATCATTCCAAGTCTGTCCTACTTTCCTGTCTGGAAGCCAGACATCTGTTTATCCCATTTTCTTTCATACAGAGTTTGGAATAGCTTTAGTTTGAAGGGGGGGGGGGAGTTTTGTCATATTTAACAGCTGTTACAAAATTTCAACCCTGTGGGCTCCGAAAATACTTTTCAGCTGACCTCAGATTTTTTATACATAACTGACCCTGGGCTGTAGAGAAATATCATTGACTTAACCTCTCATTGTCTGCGATTTCACATGGTCTTTCGTCAGATGCGCTAACTGGCCGCGCGTTCAACTCCCCCCACTGTCCAGCAGCCCCCCAGAGCCTGCCTTCGATTCATTTACAAGTTTTAAGTTTGCACCTTTAAAGGGGTGGCAGCGCGGTAGCCGGAGACCGATTGGAGGTCTCTCTCTCCCCTCTTTTTTCTTAGGCAACAGTGTCTCCTTTCACTTCCTGTCACAAAGGTCAAAGAGAGCCGACCTCCGCTGGCTGTGGGCCTCGCTGAATTATTCATGGCATTGACTTTTTGTCAGCACGCACAGTTGTGCTCTGGGACATTTTATTCATTTACCTCATTTAAAGCGCCTTTCTGCACCTGTTCAAGTATTAATATCATGTAATTTGGGCCTAATGCCGATTTTGCTGAACACTCATTATATTTTTTATTAGCTATATTTCCAAACGATTATGTATGATTATTACCAAGCCTTACAAACAGCACCGGGTTATTCCCTAGCCCCTTACATCTTCTTGTCAGGTTGTTTTCAGAAGCGGGGAGGATAAACATTTGACCAGTCCCAATGTTTTTATTCCTCTCCATCTCCAAGCGGAGAACTTAGGCTCCCTCCCTCACGGCTTTGCACGGGCGTGATTAAATCCAACTCCGAGGGAGCTGTACAAATGCCAACATTTATAAGGTCAACGCTTTTGTTAAAAACGCTATGTAAATGAGGATCTGCAAAAAGGGACATTAAATAAAATTAAATTCATTGTCTTCTTTAATGTCATTTACATTTTGGCTAAGCCCCGGCCTGTCAAGGAGGATTTTAAAAATAATTTTAATTACACATCATTTAGGGACCCAAGGTTTTCTGTGCAGTAGCATTTGGATAACCTGCAAAACGGAGACTGTTTAT